TAGTTGAGGATAGGCACAACTGCTCTTGCAATTCATTATTATAAGGTCCTAAGGTCCTAAAAGTATTTCACGGAACTTTTCTTTCAACAGTGTCTGTGTGTCTCACACTGAATGAGGGTATAAAATATATTTCTTACTGCAAGTCAGTGTCAAAATTTAATAAATTTCAGTTAAACAATCTTGTCTTTTGCAATAAAGTTTACCCTTGGTTATATATAATAACCTCTTTACCACCACAATTTCTCGTTCTCTTCAAAAAATGAGAGTGACAGGGCCTCCCTGGTGGCGCAAGGGGTTAAGGCGCAACCTATGAAGGTGACCGCAGCCTCTGTAATATAAGTTAGATCCCCCAGCCAGCCAGGGAGCTACTCACATGGCGCAGCAGACCTCTCCTGACTCGCCCGCTGCCCCCCTCAGCAGTGTACTTCGGTCAATCTGCCTGTGCTGTTCCTCACTCTGTCTCTGGTGAATCCTCTCACACCCCACACCTCTGGCCTGTATCCCAGCCCTTGTATGCATAAATAAATAAATCTTTAAAAAAAAAATGAGAGTGACAGATGTCTACTGATATCACCAGAAGGCAAATTACAGGGAGATTAAATTTGGCTTAGGAAGCATCAGCAAAAGCCACATACCTGAAGGACACAACGCACGCCTACTAGTAGCCATCGCTCATTCAGCAAAGGGCTAGGGGATGGGGGAAGAGGAAACCTATAATATCAAAAAACAATCCAAATAATTGTTATATTTGTGCCCATTCTCCTATTTCACTGAGAACCTTGGGTCCAGAGGAAATCAGAACTTTAAAAAAAAAGTAAATTTCAGACCTCCATAATAGCGCAAGTGGTTAAGTCTCAGCACTATGAAGTGATCCGCAGCCACCGCAGCATGACTTCTATCCCTGGCCAGGGTGATAATCCACATGGCTCAGGAGACTTCTCCTGTCTTGCCCGCTGCTCCCCTCAGCAGTGTATTTTAGTCAAACCACTTGTTCTGCTCCCCACTCTGTTTCTGGGGAATCCTCTCACACACACACCCAACTCTGCACCTCTGGCCTACACCCCAGCTCTTGTATGCAAAAATAAATAAATAAATCTTTAAAAAAATTAAAAAAGTAAATTTCCACATACTACTTCATGTAGTATATACATACTTTGATTTATGATGCACACCTGAAACTTATATAATGCTGTCATGTCACTTTTTTTTTTTAAAGTTTCCACACCTGATGCTTCTCGCCAAATTCTCCAGTACAAGTTTGCATCCCTTCATAAACCCTACATTAGTGAAAATTCCTTATAAGAATTAAATTTTTGCCATGTAATAATACTAAGGTACTTGTGGAATTTAGAAGAGGCAGAGGGAAAACTAGCAAACAGTTGTCAGATTTGATACTCTGAGGAAATAAGGCTTTTATTTTCTTATTTAAGCTTTACAAAGTGGGTGAAGGGAAATGTTTCTTTTTTTTTTTTTTTTTATAGAGGCATGTTTTATCTATCTGTTTGTTTGTTTGTTTGTTTTGTTTATACATGCACTGGGTACAGTCAGAAGCGCGGGAGGGCGAGAGAACTCACCAGAGCCAGAGCGGGGAGCAGAGCAGGCAGAAGGACCGAGGTACACTGCTGAGGGGAGCAGCGGGCGGCAGGAGAGGTCTGCGCGCCATGTGGGACCCTCCTCCGGTGGTCGGGGAGCAGCCGGGGATCGAACCGGCGCCGCAGAGGCTGTGGGCAGCTTCGCAAACCAGCGCTCAACCGCTGCGCCACTGGGGAGGCCGGGAAATGTTTCTTGAATATATTTTTGGCTGCAATGTCTATCACAACAACATAGCCTGTAACCAGACTTTTCATGAGTGTTAATAAAGCACTGTGTTTTCTATTTTTAAGGCTATTTAAAATACGAGAAGGCTCAGAATTTCAAATATACAAATAATCTCAGCCCAAATCTAACTTTGAATCAACTCAATACACGCCTAGAAGTTTCCCAGGAAAATTCCCCAAATTTATAACAAAAAAACATGAAAAGATGACAAAAAGAGGTCAGCATGAGCACAAATTTGCAATCCTCAATTATATCAACGTATCTGTTGAACGAGTGTAATACAGAAAGTAAATGAAGTATGAAAAGGAGAATGTTGAGATACAAGTTCTGCTTACTTCCATTAACCCTTCCTTATTAGAGTTCACATACTTATATCCAATTTCAAACCCTGACCTTAAAGTAAAAATTATTCTCCACTCTGAAAAGCTGAGTTAAGTCACACACTGTCTTTCTCCGTGCACAATATTAAAACTCACCTTAAAAACTGAGATTGTTTTACCGTAACTGCGGCTCAAGTCTGTACTTCCTCTGTCTCTGTTGTTTGTGGTGGCAAATATTCATAAGACTATCTTCATAAAAAATTACTGAGCTGTCTTTTCAGAACCAGAGGCTAGAATAATCTTGGGCTGTTGGTCATCCTCAGACACAGTGGTTGACCTATTTATTTAAGGCAACGGCTATAAACATAGAGTAACTCATGAAAACTTGAGAAACATAGAAAATGGCTCCGTGGCTGAGAATCTCATAGGTTTCAGTATCTACTTTATTTTCTATCCAACCATAATCATCCCCACACCACTTCAAGACAGTGGTAGGTCAGAATGAAGTCCCAGTTCTACAACATCACTACAAAAATTCTTTACTACTAAGCTACTACTCTCTTCAAAGTTAATCTCCAGAAGGCTGGCTGTCTCCCACTCATAATATTTTCACTTGACAAAACAAAATTCGTTTTTTGACTACTCCAAAAGAATGGATAAAAGAACTTTCCATTTTAATGCTGTTATCTGAGTTCAAATAAATACACACTAGTTGAATAAGTTCAAGTTTGGGTTAGGGCAATGGAACAAAATTTTAAGTACTAGTTTTTCTAAGTCACAAATTTATAACTGGTGACCCAATAACAATAAAAACAGCTGTTTCACAAGCCTAATAAAATTATGCCATTCATAATGATTCATAATGATTACTAAATTAAAAGGAAAGTTATCTGAATCATGAAACAATTATCAAAGGAATAAAAATTCTTAGGATATCACAAGTATAACATGTAAAAATTCCCATCAAATAATTCTAGCCAAAATATCCATACATTTAGTCATATTCTTTTATTTTGGTATATACACTACAAGTCCCAAAAGTACTAAAACCTATACCTTGTTTCCAGCTTGCTAGAGTGCCAGTGAACAAAAATTTGTTTTTTTTTTAAATTTATTTATTTATGCATACATTAACTGGGGTGTAGGTTAGAGGTTCCAGGGGTGAAAGGATTCACAAGAGACAGTGGGGAGCAGAACAAGCGGATCTACTGAAATATACTGCTGAGGGGAGTAGGGTGCAAGACAAGAGAGGTCTGCTGCGCCATGTGGGTAGTTCCCTGGCTGGGGATCGAACTCATGCTGCAGTGGTTGGCCAATGCCTGATAGCGTTGGGACTTTAACCTCTGCGCCACCAGGGAGGCCCTGAACAAAAATTTGTTTACAGATAAGCATTGCCCTTCCACACCCCCTTCTCCCCAGATGACATTAAAATATATCAGAGAACACCCTGAACTAATTCATAGAGACACCAGCAAACTCAAAGTGTTAACACCCCAAGCAGGTGTACTTTTAATACAACTTGATGATCGCATATACATTAAATTCATCTAGCTTTTCTCCTTTGCAATTTGTCAGTTTCAAGGGAATTCTCTGTTGCGATAATGAATCGCAGGCCAGTTTTCCAGTGCTAGCAGCTCATGCACCAATATTTTCCATGGAACAAAATTCATTTACAATTTGACCACAAGTAAAGTTTGTACCTTCTTAACCTCTCTATTGAGTATCCTACAAGAGGGCAGAAGAAGCCAAGTAGAAATACTATTATGAGAAAAGCCAGGTTTTCATGAATTTGTGTTTCCAGAATTTAAAGAAGCACTCACCACCATGTACAAGAAAATTTTAAATGTACTAAAAATCCCCTAAACCTTCCAGTCCCCAAAATGCAGGCTTTAAATCAGTTTCCAGTCACCGCCGAAATCTACCAAGCACGTAAGTTCTTCTCACCATTAGTTTAAAAAGAGGTTTGCGTTTCTCTTCAGCTGCATGAAACCCTCATTGCTGCAAGTGACCACCTACATTTTGACACATTTTCTAAGAAAAAAAGCTATCTGAGAGATCCAAGGGGCATAGTGCCCTGGGATCAGGGCCGGAGGTGGGGGGGGGGCTGTCAGTTCAGTCCCCCAGCACTCAGCCACCTCCCGCTGGCCAGGGGCCCCTTTCCACTGCTGACGCACTGCCCAGCCCTGCACCGTCGGCGACCAGTGCAAAGTACTAGCCCAGCCTCAGAAACTTTGAGTTATCAGCACCCACAGCCTGGACGGGGGCTGTTTGTCAGGGCCCGGCGGTCAACTTTCAAGCGGGGCATTCCTGGCAGGTAGAGATCTGCCCAGGATGCAGCCCATCCCAGACTGCAAAACCACAAGCATCAACAGCAGAAGCTGAGCAAAGTGCCGGGCGGAGACCCGGGAAGCGCGAGGGCGAGACGCGGTCACGAACAGAAGCCTGCGTGTAGCTAAAAAACACCGTGACCACACGCCCCCCGGACGCCGAGCCGCTGGGGCTGCGAACCCGGCAGCGGCCGCCGCGCGGCGACGGGGGCGGCGATGTCAGGAGGGCACGGCTGGGGGCGAGCGCCCGAGTCACCACCCCGCCCCCAGGTGAGGGGCGCCGACCCCGCCCGCCCGCCCGCCCGGGTCGCCGGAGCCGCCACCGGAGAGAAGCGCGGCGCCCCGAAGGCGATCCCCAGCCCCGAGCCCGCCCGGCACCCTCCTCCCCGAGATCCCCCCGCACGCCGTCCCGGGCCCGGCCCCCAGCCTGACCCTCCCCGGCCCAACCCCGGCGCCAACACCCCCGGCCCGGCCCGCGACTCCGGGCCGCCCGATCGCCCGCCCGTCGGCCCCTGGAAGGCCGCCCTCGCCTCACCTCCTCACGTCTGCGCGGGCAGGGCCGGAACAACTCTGCCCGGCGCCCTCGTCCCACCCGGCGCCCCGCGCTCTGCGGCCCGGCCCGCCCCGTTCACTCCGCTGCCGCCAGAGCCCCGAGAGGGCGGAGGGAGCAGGGCGGAGGGAGGGAGCGGGGAGGAGAGGAGGGCCGCCGGCAGGAAGAGGCGAGGGAGGGGGCGGGCCGAGGAGGAGGCGGCTCGGGAGCGCGCGCGTTCGGGCCCCTCGGCGGGGCGTGCGCGCTCCTGAGAACGGAGGCGCCTTCACAGCGCCCGGCGACGGGGACGCGCACGCGCGTACACGTCCCAGCCCGGCCGCAGTTGGGCGGGGGCAGGAAGAGAAGACCTGCGGGGTCGACTGTGAGATCGGGAACCTGGGAAGCGAGGAGGTGGGCTCAGGGCCCTTCAGAATCCCCGAGGGGTACCTGAGCCCAAAAAGCTATCCCGCGCGGGCTCGCGATTTAGAGACCTGCCCAGCGGTTACTGAGTTCTCAGGACATTCTGAGTTTGGAGCGATTGTTTTTTTGGTCATAAACCTGGCTTCCACACTTTTATTCTTTTGGTTTATTTATGCATACAAGAGCTGGGGTACAGGCCAGAGGGGTGGTGGTGGTGGTGGTGGTGGTGGTGAGAGGATTCCCCAGAGACAGATCGGGGAACAGAACAGGCAGACTGACTGAAATACACTGCTGAGGGCAGCAGTGGGTGAAACGGGAGAGGTCTGCTGCGCCATGTGGGTAGCTCCCTGGCCGGCTGGGGATCAATCTCGTGCTGCAGAGTCTGTGGATTGCTTTATAGTGCGGTGCTTAACCCCTTGCGCCTCCAGGGAGGCCCCCACTCTTTCGTTCTTAATGCCTAGTAATGAATGTTCAAGGAAGTCACCTTGAAAAATATAATACTAACTTTTCTCGCCTCTTCCATTGTTTCTCTTTCATGTGCCTCTTGCAATGTGTCTCAAGTGCCTAGGAAACGCTCCTTGGTGCCTTCTTTGGGACTCAGCGGAGACAGAGAAGGGAATCACCTTCAGGGAATAAACAAGAAAGCACTCAGCACTATTATGTTCTTCTATGAAGAAAAGTTGCCCTCATTTGCACCTTTTTATATTTTAGGGTAACAAAATTTGGGAATACAAAGTAGAGATAAAATAAACCAACTCTTTTTCCTATACAAATACTGTGCTGATCTTTGAACTGTGACTATCCTTCCTAGATCCTGCTGCCAGAAATTACCTGTAAATTTTCCAAATTTCCTTAGCATTTTGATTCTATAGGTGTGTGTCACCTAAATTCAACCTGATCCAGGTAAACCTGTGCAATGTTTTGTGACCTTGAAGAATCCTGAGGACCTGCTTCTTTCATCTTTATATCTTCCATAGCACTTAGCATAGAAAGTCCTCATAAATGTTATTGCATTGGTAAGTGAATGTATTGCAGGTAGAATTAATTAAGTGTATAGCCAATGATTTGAGCTGTATAGTGATTTCTTTAGTTTAAAATTATCCCTCTGTTCCACTTCAATTCCCCTGCACTGATTTTCCCACTTCATCCAAAATCTATCCTGAGGAGTGACATTTTTGACCAAAGAACAAAAAAGAACTCTCTCAAGTTCTTTTTTTCTCCTTTCCTTACTTAAACTTTTGTAGATGCTGAGACATATCAAGAGTGTTACACTATTTTATAGTTCCCCTACCTGCTGGGCACCTTCCCAAAATGTCCTTTATTAACCTTAATAATAATGACCACAAGAGTTTTCCTAGCTTTGGCCTCACTCACTGCTGGAGTTTGATATTTAATAAAGGTAGGAAAAAAGAACTCAAATAATTTGTTGAGTTCCTGAGACATACTATTAATTAATAAATCAACAATTAGGTAATAAGCCACTACTAAATAAAATACTAACAAGGTTACACTGGGAACGACCATGAAAAATATCGCAGTTTATGCCTCCTGATATCTCCTAACTGAAGAGAAGCTTTGACAAAAAGGACAATGCTGTTGTAATTATCTGCACTCAGTAAGAAATTTAACCCCCACAAAATGAAAGAGTTTTTTAAATGTTAAGTCCAAAATAAATGTAGTGTTCCCCAAATTCAGTTCCAGTGGCCATTGTTGGCTGTTGCCGGTTAATTCTTCTACTAAAGTGGAACGTAGGGCCTCCCTAGTAGTGCAAGGGGTTAAGACACAGCACTATGAAGCTATCCCACAGCCACTGCAGCATGACTTCGATCCCAGGCTAGGGAGGTGACCCACATGGCACAGCAGACCTCGCCTGTCTCACCTGTGGCTCCCCTCAGCAACGTATTCAGTAGATCTGCCTGGTCTGCTCCCCACTCTGTCTCTGGTGAATCCTCTCACCCCACCGACCCTCCATCCCCCGCACCTCTGGCTGCACCCCAGCTCTTGTATGCATAAATAAATAAATCATTAAAAAAATAAAGTGGAACATGGCATCTAAGTAACCATTGTAAAACCAATCCATGTGCCAGCTTGCTGGGAAGAAAATAAATCTCTGTCCCATGACCACATGTCACACCTCTAATCATCAGGGGTCATTCTGTAAAACTGAACTGTTTCTCATGTTAGAACCTACATAAGGGACATCATAAGAGAACCTAGATAAGAGACAAGTCACAAGAGAACTTATATAAGAGACAGTGAAGGTGATTTAGTCAAACTCCTCCTTACCACCAGAAAAGGAATTCTAGCTACACGTCAAAAAAGTAATAAAGCATTCTTCATGATATGTATGTTGCTCCCTTCTCTACTCACTCTGATTTCCTTTGCAACTCCTAGCAATCCTGGCCCATGAAATGACTAGAGCTCTTGCTTTGGGTGAAGGTGTAACAGGGTGGTCCCCAGGAAAGGGGGAGGTTCCCTGCCCCACCCAAGGGAGGGTAGAGCTGAGCAGGAAGAGGAGAAGCTGAAGAAGAGACTGAGGAAGGAAGCAGGATGGAGCCAGGAGACCTGGAAGAAGCGCATGGAGCCTAGAGACACGTGAAGAAACTGCGCTTGTCTTTTGGTCGTGGACTGGGTGACACAGATGTGGGTGAGACCCGTGGGGAGGTGACCATGGCAGCTTTTATCTTGATGTTGATTTTGCTCTTTTCCTTCCGGACTTGTCCGGTTGTTTGTGACCCTTTTCTGTGGGTCCCCACTGGAAGATGCTTTAGACTTTAACAGGCTTTGGGGCCTTGCTCTGGGCCGACCCCATATGGATGGAGTTTTACCCACGAGGGGATGGGTAACTTTGGGTGCTTCATTTAGAAACTAGATTCTTTGTCTTTCCTGTATTGTTTCCTAATTAAAGTTCCTTCCCATTAAAGTCTTATATGTTTTGTGTTGATGCGGCGGATGGCAGAACCCATTTAGAATAGGCAGGTTTGCGGGGCTTGGGCTGCCCCTCTCCCTGTCCTATAACAAAGGTATTATAAAATATTCTAATCTGACTCAGAATATGACCCCCCCCCAAAAAAAAATGGTGGCCTAAGTCCAAATCAAACCTTCAGACATTTTATTTGACTTACATGGTACTCAAAATATTGATTAAAATAATTAACCAGTGTTAAATGCCAGAAGATTTTCATGCTTTCCAGGGTTCTCTTAAAAAAGTGAAATTTGGTAACAGTGGCCTTGCATTTTCACATAATACTCAGCTACAGAGTATGCATTCTTTCTTTTCCCCAAGTCTTTACATTCCCTATTGTACCTTATGCTATTCTCGTTTCCTTGTGTGGGTCTATAATTTCCAATTTAAAATATCATGATATCAAAAAACTAGAAAAAACTTAAACATCAAACAAAAATGGAAGAGCTTAAACTATGATATTTAAAGGAGGTGAAATATTATATTTTTTTATTGGTGGACTTTTCAGCTGGTGTTTCCACCTTTCTGAGATCATGAGGCAGTTAATGATTTTGGATGGAATTAGTCCCAGCGCCAACTCCAAGTCTGGACCCTAATTGATGTACCTAATCAACTTAATCCCATTCTCATCTGACTGTGTCTGTGTTCATGAATACACACTAACTCAGGTCTAATTTGGTCTAATCATAAGGAAGTCCACATCTTGTATTTGCTGGGAGGAGAAAAGTGCTGCCTTACTCTGGCTAGTCTGATGGTTGAGATGTGAGTCTATAATTACTGCAGCCACTTTGTTACCCTGAGGGGAGCCAACCTGAAATTAAAGCTGACACATGATGGAAGAGCTCAAATCCAAATTGAACCTACCCCTTCCTCTTGATTCAGTAAATTCCCTGAGCCAATAAATTTTCTTAGTTTGAATTTGGCTTTTTATTACTCGCAACCAAGCTAAATTTTCCATGCATGTTATAAAAGAAAGAGCTATAGTTGCATTGTCTGATTCTGGTACAGAAACATTTCCAATGGGAAGAATAAGCCTACTTAGCAAAATTTTAGATGGTCTGAAAACATGACATCCCGCCCCCCCAAAAAAAAAATCCTTCCCTGGCTATATTACCTAATACCCGAGAATCCATTGCTACATCTTTCTCTCTTTTTTTAAGATTTATTTGTGTATTTATACAAGAACTGGGGTACAGGCCAGATGTGCTGGAGGGTGAGAGGATTCACCAGAGACAGAGTGGGGAACAGAACAGGCAGACTGACGAAATACACTGCTGAGGGGAGCAGCGGGCGCAACTGGAGAGGTCTGCCTCACCATGTGGGACCCTCGTCGGCCGGCTGGGATCAAAACCACGCTGCAGAGGCTGTGGACAGTTCACAGCACTGTGCTCAACCACCTGTGCCACCAGGGGAGGCCACTACATCTTTTTTTTTGATATTTCAAACATAACAATGTTTTCTATTTTATAATAGTAAATATTATTTATGGAATCCTATATGGGAAGACTTAAGATATAAGCTACAGGAAATGTAAATAAAATTTAGTAAATATTGTTTTGTGGTCTGGTTACACTTCTTTTTTAAACTGACTTAAATGCTGAATTTTTTTTTTTGATTTGTTGGTCATTTACATGTCTATGGGATTATATTTTTCATTCCTCCATATGTACACATGCTTCATGAAAACTCCCATGCCAATGCCCTAGC